TTTTTTTTTATTTAACTTAAAAGTTTCAATATCATCCTTTTATTTATGTCTTGTTCATTTCAACTATAAATCATAGACACTTTGTTGATGTTCTTTCATAATATTTTATTTCTTTAATGAAGAAATAGTACTTCATGTTATTTGATATTCATTGAAATACTTTAATATTTAATATAGTCTTATTCTTTTGTCCATCTTTCATTTAGTAAATCTTAGTTAAACCATTAATTAATTATACTTCTTTTTATTTAATTAATTTGTAGTGTTTTATCTTCATAATTGATTTTTGAACAATTAACAACATTTTGAATTAAATGAATAAATTTATTTGCATCTTTTTAATAAGGAATTAACACATTTAAAGAGGTATTTGTACAATTTTGTAATATCTTTTCTGAATAGTAATATGTCTTTGTTCAAATTACAACATTCAATCAAAGAGTTGACTATTTTATATTCATTCAATTTAAATTGTTTTTACAATTTGTTTTAATATATGAATTATTAATAAAAAGTTTCAAATAAATAAACACAAAAAGACATAATTAGATAGAGTCTTTCAAAATAGATTTTCATAACACTCTTTTATTTATATCATATTTATAATATTAATAATTTATTGTGAACATATTTCTATAAAATAATGAGCTTATTAACGATCATCTCATTTTTCAACAACATTAAATTTACATTAAATTTAATGATTAAACACTTTTAACTCTTTTATTAACTACAAATATCCATTTTATGTTAAGTGTTATTGAAAAAGCAGTTATATGATATTTAAATTATATAACAAATAATAAAAATCATCTTTTTATATTTTGTTTTTATAAGTTAATCATAGAATAATGCTGATTTCAACAAGTAGATATTGTATTATACTAAATTGGAAATAAAATATTTTCATTAGACTCATCTATATCAAAAATAAAAGATATTAATATGAAAATAAATACTTTGATCATATCAATTCAAACACATAACCATTCTAATAATATTGTTAAACATACATCTACTTTTTTATCTTTTGTTTGTTTCTCTATATAATTATATATAAACAACACAAGAAACAGTTTTTCACATCAACAAATACATTTGAAATAATACACTAAAAGTATAATTATTATGTTATGTTAATAAATATTTATTTATGTTAATAGTATAGAAAAAGAGTCTTAGTTGACTCATCAAAGTGTATTTCCTCTTTGAAACACATACAGACTTTGTAATATAACAAACAAAAACTATGAAATAAAATGATTTAAATCTCTTTATTAACACTGGCACCCCTTTCAAGAAGTGAGCATGCATCAATTCTCGTTGTCATTCCACAGAATGCAATATTTTGAACAATTTGAGGGTGAAGAAGCTCTGGGGTTATGAAACAATTTTCAATTAATTCTCTACTAATTGGATTGCACTCATTTAATTCTTCAATGCAATCTCCAACTAATTCACATAACTTCATCTCCTCTCTACATTCTTTGGTATTACAAATTGAAGAAATTTCGTTAATTGTGAATTTTTGTAAAGCACAATGAAGTGACATAGTTGATTCTTTTGACAAAAATACGTCTTGATCAGTATTAGTTGAATTTCCAGATTCATTAATGTTCTCAAATAAATCAATTTTCCTTGATGTAAACACAATTGTATTTATTGAATGAATTGTGAAATCTGACAAGAGACAACCGTCTTTGAAATACATGTGATAATGAAAAAAAGGAAATAATGCAAAAATAGATTTTGATACTTCACAATACCAACCTTTATTAATAAAAATCCAGTCTAATGGCTTAGATTGGTTGGAGAATAATAGAGTAATTGTTATGTCTTCTGTTTTCCATTCTAATTTTTTGTTGTCTTCAGAAAGATTTGTAGAATATAGGTGATTGACAAAAGAACCATCGAAATAAATATTCTTTCGTACTAGAGAAGAATAATGAATAAAACGATAAATAGATTCGAGGATCTTTTGTTTAGAATAATTACCAATTGGAAATTGTAAAGAACAAAAGTGATTAGAAAATAAAGAAATAATAACGTCATGGTAATTAACAATTTTTGGTTGAATTTGATTTTCTTTGATATTTGGAAAGAGTAAATAAATAATACATAAAGAGTCACAAAAAGAATAAGTCATTTCAATCTCATCATCTATTAGAATGTCTTTTAATAATTTTGCTAAAACAGAAATAATTAATTGAGGAGAAAACATTAATAAAAAGAATTAATAAGAATAAGAGTTTAAATAATGTCTTTTTATTTAAGAAAAAATCACGAAGTTTTCAAATCTTAGTTAAAAAGTGTAATTATTTTGATTGACCAGCTAATGCAGCCTTCTGAATGTCAGCTAATTTCTTTTGACATTCTTTAACTTGAGCTTGAAGATCAGCTTCTTTTACATCACACTTCTTCAATTCACTTTCAAGATATTCCAATCGTTGATCAACACACATTTCAGCCTCAAGAGGGTCTTCTTCTTTTAATTCACCATCTTCTAATTTGTATATAATATCGTCATCTTCTAATATTTCAAGCTCTTTCTTGACCATTTCATTTTCATTTTTTTGTGTTAATAATCTTTGTCTATTCAACATAACATCTTGGAGTTGATTCATTTTATCATTGTATGCCTTGAGTTCAGGTGGTTGTTGTTGAATGGTTGACATTATGAACTTGGATTAATTATTAGTGAAACTCCATTTGTTTTTGAATTTAGGTCATTTTAAATAAAAAACTAGTTTTGTACTAGTCCAAATAACAAAAAGAAGAGCATTAATTAGAAAGAAAAAGAATGACTAAGGTTATTTGGTAAATTAATAGTGATAAAAGGAAACATAGTTCAAAAGAAGAGTGAAGTATGTGATTGATTAACACAACAAAGAGAAAATAAAGAAAAAGAATATTTTTGTGAAAGGGGAATTTCAATAAAAAATAGAAAGAAAAATAGGAAAAAGAATAATAAAAAAATAAAAAGAAGGGTTTGGATAAAAAGGAGGGTTGAACTAAGAAGAGTTGCACTAGTCAGCATGGCAGAACAAACAGAAAGAGCTTATCAAAAACAAGTGTTCCACCATCATGGAAGAAATGATAAAGGAGAAATTGACTTTGGAAGTGTAAAGAGATATCATAAACAAATTGGAATGGGATTTGTTACACCAGCTGAAGCAATCAAGGGAACATATATTGATAAGAAATGTCCATTCACATCAGATGTTTCTATTAGAGGAAGAACATTATCAGGAATTGTCAAATCATGCCATATGAAAAGAACTATTATTGTTAGAAGAGATTATTTCCATTATGTTTCAAAATACCAAAGATATGAAAAGAGACATAAGAATATTGCAGTTCATTGTTCACCAGCATTTAGACAATTAAAAGAAGGAGACCATGTAGTTATTGGACAATGCCGACCACTTTCCAAGACAGTTAGATTTAACGTATTGAAATTCACATCAAGAGGAACTGGTGATAAGAAACAATTTGCTATTTTCTAAGTGAAGGGATATTGAAAGGTGTTATGTTTAAAGAAAAGTTTTTAAGAAATAATTTTAATAAAAAAGAGAGAAAAAAAACAAATAATATAAAAGGGTTTTAATTAAAAATAAAAAACTTTGAAAAAATATGCAATACGAAATTTATAAGCAACAACAAATTGAAGGAAATAATCCACAATTCTGGGTCAATTTATGTCAAAGTCAAGATGATTTTAGGATTGTTATTAACAGAGAAATTCTTCAACAAATGATTTCAGGATTTCAACAAGAAGCAAATGAATTATGGAAGAAATACTTTTTTGAACAACAATTACAAAAAATTAAAGAAATGGAAAGTGTTTTTAGTACTGTTGCCACTTCTACTCCAAATGAAATTACAGAAATTCAAGAAGAACTTAGTCAATTAAAATTTCTTCAAGAAAAAATGATTCGTTCATATGAAGTAAATCAAGCAGAGAATAATCAATACGTCAAAGAAATTGAACGAGCTAATGAAATAATTAATATGAAAGAAAATCAAATTCAAACAATTCAAAATGAAACAGAAAAAATTGATGTTGAATTGCAAACTGTTTTGAGTCAGAAAGAAAATGAAAAGAAAGTTAGTGAAAAGAAAGTAGTTAAATTTATTACAGAACATAATGAAATGGTTGTTAAATATGATGAACTCTTTCAGTCATATACAAAATATAAAAAAGCCTATGAAGAAGCTAAAATTGAAAGAGAAAAGTTGAGAAATGAAAATAACAAATAAATTTATTGTTGAGTATTATTATTGTTGAGGTTTATTAGTAAAAGTCATTTTACATATGAGATGATAAATTGTGTTGTTGAATTTGGTTTTGTGTTTCTTGAGGAATAGTAACAATATCTGGTGATATATTTAATATCATTGGCATAAATGGAAGTTTATTTGGTTTTGCTGTTGAGTCAGTTAAACCAAGAAGAAGTCTTAAATTTACACAGAATTGAGTAATATCATTTTTACTATATTTTGCAAATTCGTCTTCATATTTTAAATTTTGTTCAATACGTTTTAATATTTCTTCATTGTTATTAAGTAATGTTGAAATATCATAATTTTCTTGTTCATGTTTTTGTGGTTCTTTCTTACTTGAAAGTGGTGTATACATTGATTTTGCAAGAAATGTTGATTGTGGTTGACTTAATCCTCTTTGGAGTTGTGAACGAACATAATCTTCTGATTTACTTGTTCTAAATGATTTTCTAAATGGTGACTCTTGTGGTGGTTTTGGAGAAGAATGATTTGATGAATAAGAAGATGACCATCCTGAAGAACATTCATTTGGAGAAGTTTCACTCATATTTATTCCTGTACAACTTTTTTGTGGATTCTTTTCATTTGATTTACAAAAATCATCCCAGCTTTGATTCTAAAATATTATTATTGAGTATCTTTAGTTTGAATAAAAGAGACTAACAAACTGTTCGTGAGCGAATCCATTTCATTCTTAATGAAATTTGTTGAATAGACTTGTGAGGAAACCATGGAGCAATCATTAATACTGTTCTGAGCTCATCTTCAGATGGATCAATTCTATAGGTTATTGATTTTTTTTTAATTGCTTTATAATAGAATTAAAATACAAACGTTGCCATTTGTTGTTCTAATAAAATAGTTTCATCAGCAGACCAAATTGGTGCATTTGGTTGTTGAATACCAGTTAATACATTTGGCAGTGATGGAAACATAGGAATGTTGTGACGATGAAAATCCATAAAAAGAAATGAAAAGAAGTTGTTTTGTTTTTCTTTTATTATTTTTCTTTTTTCTTATGAAATTTCTACCCTATACAATTTTATACAAAAACAAAGTTACTATCACTTTCAATTACTTTGGAATATCTGTTGTTTTATCTATAGTTAATTGTACTATTAATTAGTTCATTTTTCTTCATGAATAAGAATATTAACAAACATTCATCAAAGAATTTCATTAACAAAGAACTTTGTTCATTGTATGATAAAACTATTTCTTCACCTATGGATTGACAAATGGTTTGTAATTTTTCTAAAGCCTTCCTCCTCTTCTTTAGTTCTTTTGCCATTTGTATAGTTTGGTTAAGAGTTGCTTTCAATAACTCTTTCTTAATGCGTTTTCTTTCTTGTTTTTCTTTTTGTTTTTGTTCTAATTGATTTCTTGCAAGAAGTAATGAAGGTCTTACCGTAGCAGTTATTTGTGTTGTGTTTTGAGAAGAAGCGTTTTGACTAAGTTGTGAGAAGAGTGGTTGTGATAGTTGAGAATTTTGTGAATTAAAAATATAGTTCATTCGTAAATGTTTTCTGTTTCTTTGAGTATGTTTAAGTTATACCTTCTTTTCCTAATCAAAAGTAACATCCTGAAACATCTGAATAAATCAATTAATCATTTATTTGTCAGACATTTGTGATTGTAATTTATCAATTCTATTTGTAAAATCATTTACTTCTGTAAAATTCTTAATATTAGTATCTGGTTTCATTCTTTTAATTACTTCTATTAGCTCTTGTTTAATTTTAAGTGCATCTGTTGAATTGATGCTCTGTAAGTTTAAAAACATGCTTTCAAGCTTGTTTTTAACTACCTTATTTTCAAACTTTTTGATTAATTCTTTTTCATCAATTTC